ATGACAAACAACAGCCAATATCATACCTAACAGTGGAAAACTGAAACCATTTCCCCTAAAATCAGGAACAAGACAAGGGTGCCCACTATCCCCACTCCTATTCAACAGAATACTGGAATTTCTAGCTAGAGCAATTAGGCAAGAAGAAGAAATAAAAGGAATACAAATAGGTAAAGAAACTGTCAAAATATCCTATTTGCATACAATATGATCTTATACCTTAAGACCCAAAAAACTCTACCCAAAACTCTTAGACACCATAAATAGCTACAGTAAAGTGGCAGGATACAAAATCAACCTACAAAAATCAGTTTTTCTATACAGCAACAATGAACAAAGTGAGAAGGAATACATGGAAACAATTCCATTTACAATAGCCTCAAAAAAAATCAAATACCTAGGAGTAAATTTAACAAAGGATGTGAATGACCTCTACAAGGAGAATTACAAACTCCTGAAGAAAGAGACTGAGGCACGCACAGGAAATCAATGTGAGTCAATGCCCTGTATAGCTATCCTTATCTCAACCAGCAAAAACCCTTGTTCCTTCCTATTATGGCTTATACTCTCTCTTCAACAAAATTAGAAATAAGGGCAAAATAGTTTCTGCTGGGTATTGGGGGGGGAGAGGGAGGGGGCGGAGTGGGTGGTAAGGGAGGGGGTGGGGGCAGGGGGAGAAATGAACCAAGCCTTGTATGCACATATGAATAATAAAAGAAAAATGAAAAAAAAAAAGGACAATATAAGAAAAAAAGAAAGAGACTAAGGAAGACTACAGAAGATGGAAAGATCTCCTGTGCTCATGGATTGGTAGAATCAACATAGTAAAATCTACATGTTTAATGCAATTCCCATCAAAATCCCAATGACTTTCATCACAGAGATTGAAAAATCTACCCTAAAGTTCATTTGGAAACACAAGAGACTGCAAATAGCCAAGGCAATACTCAGCAAAAAGAACAATGCTGGAGGTATCACTTGCTCCTGTTTTTCTAAGAGCTTGAGGTACATCATTAGGAAATTTATTTAGGGTCTCTCTGACTTTTTTAATTAAGCACTCATATCTATAAGCTTTCAGCTTAGCACTGCTATGTCCCAAACATTTTGGTAAGCTGTGTTTTCATTTCATTGTTTCCAGGAATTTTTTATCTCTCCCCTGTTTCCTTGATCACCCACTGATCACTCCAGCATGAATTGCTCATTCTCCATGTGTTTGGATATTTTCTGTAGTGTCTCTTGTTATTGTTTTTTTGTTTGTTTGTTTGTTTATTTCATTGTAGTCTGATGAAATATAGGCAATCATTTCAATTTTCTTGCATTTATAAGATTTGTGTTATGTTCTAAGATATGATCTATTTTGGAGAAAGTTCCATGGATTGCCATGTAGAATGTGTATCCTAGGGCTGTAGGGTAGGATAGTCTGTAGATGTCTGTTGAGTTATTTGATCTATAGTATTGTTTATTTCTGAAGTTTCCTTGTTGATTTTTTTTTTGTCTGGATGACTTGTCAGTTGTTAAGAGCTGTCTGAGGGTGGTGCTCTCAAAAGGGCTGACAGAAAACACACGCTGCAATGCAGTTCTCGTAGGTAGCCCTCTGTGCTTTCAGACCTTGCCCAGTAATTTACCTCCCTGTTGTTTGGAAATCACGTGACTTAGCAGACCTGGGCTGGGGACCTCTTACCCATTTAGCAGCTAACACACACACAACCAGGAAGCAGGCCCTATAGGTCAAATACTACGGCTAGCCACATACCCAGTGCTTGGTTTGTGTCATGACCCTTAGGCAACAGGACTCACACCTTACAAGGGAAGCCGGGGCCTCTGAGTAAACTTGTTCTTTGCTACTAGAGCTACCCACTGATTGTACCTCCCTGAAGGACCACATCAGACCTTCTCCCTCTCCACAACTACTTCTTGTGGCTTGTCTTCTACCTAGACACCGTTGCAAGATGTCTCAGGACTCCCTGAGTTTTTATTGTTCCTTGTTTTCAAATCCCCAGAGTATCTCAGTCTCCAACAATAGGTCCTCTCTCAATACTGTGTCTTACTATATGATTCTGTGGGATAAGGGAAGCAACAGAATGTCTTTCTTCACTGAGACAGCTTTTCACACTGGAGCAGTCATTGTCTTCCAAATCCCCACACTGCGTTTAAGGTTTGCAGAAGGTGAGGACTTACATGCAGCTAGAATTTCTGGTCTATCATCAGGACCATCTGGCTGACCTGGTGGATGCATCCTTAGGTTCCTCTCCTTGTCCTGGGGAGCTTGGACCTGTTTCCTGCTTTTCTCTGTTGCCTCAGTTTTTCCATATTTTTCTGCTGTCCTGTCACCTCTTCTGCTATTCCCCATACTCCTCCTCTTTTTATTTCTTCAAAATATGGTCTCTTCTGTATTATCTGACTCTTTTCATTTATAAAGTTGAAACAGTGAACTCTTCTAAGAAGTCATTTTGTCCTTTCCACACATAATTGTGTTCTAAAAATTTTCTAGTTTTCATTATGTATTTTCATGGACATACAAGTTATTAAGATGTGTTGGATGCTTTCCAAAGTCATGAGATTTTTTAATTTAACTTTCTTTAACCTAACTTCACTGAAAAATATTCAGAGGTGATCTGTATGATATCACTCCTTTGAACTATATGTGACTTATTATAGACCTCAGACTGTGGTATATGAGGCCTAATCCCTGTACGCTGCATGACTTTTAACTCCTTTATCCAACTTAGTAGTTCTCTTTTTTCCCTTGTGCTGGAGATCAAATCAAGGTCCTTATACATGCTACACGAACTCTATTCTAGTGAACTACAGCCCCATCCCTCTTTATCTATCTCATATGAATTCCAGATAAAGTTCTTTGTTTCTATTTTTTAAATAGTTCTCCAATGTTATTGTCAGCCATGGTTAATCTGCTATAAACTCATTCATAGAGTTATTTGCTTATTGTATTTTTACTTTTCAGAGTGTTTGATTTCTTTTCAAATACGCTTGGTCTTTAATCATATTTTAAACTTTTTGCCTCACATGTGTCGATTTTACTTCTTAATTACTGCAAAGCATGTATATTCTTCATTCTTTAACTCAATTCCTAGCTGTGCTAAAATGTTCAGATTATTTTAACTGCTTGATTGCAAGTCTGAAGTTAACTTTATTAGCGAGATGAAACACAGTGGGAAGTGAAAAAAGTCCAACATTCTATGAAAGAGACTACTCTTGGTAACCCATTTCTGGAAAGGAGTTCTGTTTTCCTAAAATAAAGGTCTATAATTTTCCATACACTATATAAAGTTATAAGGAGAAGTATTTATGTAATATTTATTTTTTTAATCAAAATATGACTTTCAATTTAAATAAAGAGATTCCCAGTAGATTAAAACTACAAAAGAAAGACGAACACCTGATGACTTTAATAACAAAGTATATTTGAAATGTTTTATAGTTACATTTTTATTTCCATATTATCAAAAGCATTAGAAAACCCCTTTGGGAACACACAAAAAAATCCTAATGTTGAAACAATAAAGCTTGTTATTCAAAACACAATTATCTAAGCAAAATTATGAGAATCTATTTTGTATGTAAGAATAAGTCTTAACTAGCAAGACATTCTTGCTTGTATTGCCTGGTGAATTTTTGCTGTTTAAGACAGATAGTTCTAACTCAGGATTCTGTCATTCATCATAACACTGTATAAAAAGCTGACCTTTGCAAGAGCAAGAATTGTCAGCTCAACTAAAATTTCAGGTGAACAGTGATGTACTTACACTAAAAATTAATTTATTGCTGATTTGAAATAAAAAATTAACTGGTGGTTCTTTTCCTGTTCTTTGTGCTAAAACTGGAAAGCCTGATCAAAAGTTCTCTGATAGAACACTATTTAATATCTAAAATAAATAAAAACTCACAATAGCATGGCTATACTAGCCTATTAACCATGCTTCTTCCTTTCGCATTTTTCCAAATTCATACACAAATATTACTAAATTTGATGCTTAAATAAATATATAAATAATAAATAAGTGAATAGTTACACTTGAAAATAATTTACATGCTCATGAAAAAAAATACTTAAAGTGCTTTCACATGTCCTCACAACATCCCTGTGAGGTAAGATGGCGACTGACACTTTTTCCTTTAGTTTAGGAATAAAGACGAAACCAAGGCACAGTTGAACAGGGACTCATGGATCCTGACCAGCAGAACTAATGCTGCCATATTTAACAAAGAAAAATCCAGGATTACCAGCTAAATTTGAATTTACAGCAAACATCCTTGGCTCCTTATTTTCATGTAATGCTTGAAACACCACATTTCTAGACTCAAAAATTAAATTTTAAAATATCATTATGTACTAGATATTGCATGACACAATGAAAAAAAAAATTCATTGTTTGACCAAAATTCAAATTTAACAGGGAATCCTGCATTTTGTCTGGGCAGCCTTTTTACAGATCCACCCAATACATGAAGAGCAGAAGTAGATTTGTTTGAAATTTCATTGGCATCTTTACTGAGGAGTTCTTGGGTTCCACGAAGAATGCATTTTTTTTCATGAATTTTGCTTCTCAGCTCTGAAAGTAAATAAAGTAGAATAAAATAATTAAATATTATCAATGGTCAAATAAGGAGCAAAGTGGGGGTTCTTGAAAATACATTTTCTTAAAAATGTAATACTATCTTAGACACTCATTTGTTAAAAATGCCTTATACTTTCAAATGTAAATGAGAGACCAGATAAGTTATCATCCAGAACAGGACACTTCTGAGAATAAAGGGGACTTTACTAATGATACAGGACATGGGCATAAACCCAGATTTCCTTCGACAAGCTGAAATGCATGACCTTCTCAGGCATCAGTACCACAAACTCAGTATTGCTGTCTGTTATGCTCTATTTTTAACAAAAGGGAAGATTTTAAGCAGCAGCAGGAATGTATAGGCTGACTTTTAGACTATATATCTCAAAATAAATGATGAATTTAAAATTTTAAAGCACCAACTTACCTCTTCACAAATGCTTCCACAATCCTCTGTACCCACTTCTCCTTGGGGTCTAGGCAGAGCTCTCTTTTATCAGCAAGCTTTATACTGAAATGAGACAGATGGTTAAAATCAATATCTAACTTCCCATTCAAATAATGGTTCCTTAAGTACAAGCATAAAATCTAACTTCAAATAAACTTCAACTACTGGATATGGAAGATACCATATTTAAATGTCATGTATATGAAGATTTTTGTTTCATTTTGCTCAACTCACTACTGTATTCCTAGAACATTCCTAGATATTTCCACTTTTCTCAATTCTAGGTTTGCTAAATCAAATTATCTAATCATTTTTTAGATGTACTTACATGATTTCTGTATTGGGACAGTGTGGTCCCCTCTCAATTACTCTCAATTCTTTGATAAATTTGGGGTGGAAAGGTGTGGAGTAAGTCTTTATGCACTGGCATCGAAGTTCTGCACCCATCCTTGCCAGGACTGCAGCTGTGGGAAGAATGGGAAAAAGAAGGATTAAGGATTAATTTTATCAACAGGTACAGCTCTGCTAGCTACTCTCTCTTTAACCCCCATATTATTATTTGGGGACTAAAGAAAACATCACATGTCTGGTAAGCCCGCTCCTGACATTGAAGGCCAGATATTCTCCTAGCCCTTGACCTATTTGTTCTTCGTTTTAAAAAACAGTTACTACTAAAAGCATTGACTGACTTTCTACATAAAGAGTTGGGGTTGTCAGTGTGGTATGTCGACATCCTCATGGTACTTTTTTCTTCCCTTCAATCACATAATCCTCTGCAATACCAAAATGCTATTTATCATAAGCAAACCAAGATTTACCAACATAGAAATTTTTCAGAAATAATTAATAGAAAAAAATAAATGAATTAACTGCACAGAGGTGTTATATCTTAGTAAAATCCTTAATGCTTAAAAGAAAAAATGTAGAAACTACATGCTATAAGCATTCTAAACTACTTTTTATTTTATAAAAGGTATCTCAAGAAAGTCTATAATAAGGATGTCTTTAAACCAAGCAGGAATTGATAGTTATCTGAGGTTTGTTAATTAAATATTATATGGAGTTAAATTATCTGAGTTACCTTGCTCAATATAATAGATAATTTGGATAACTGTGGCTTTCAGTAGGATATTTTGTAAACTACAAATTTATGTTAAATATATACATACTCCAGAGTATGAACTATAGGAACAAAATGTCTATATTACTAAAACTTCAGGTTTTCCTAAATGTTGTAGACAGATAGCTGAAAAAACAAAGCTGTATTTAATATTAAGTAATTGCACAGATGATTTTCTCCTCCTGATATTTTTTGTGAGCACATCAAAGATAGTCTTGCTATCAAGGATCATAGTAAACACAAGAAAACTCTGTAGGTCAGAAAGATGTGCTTACCTTCACACACAGATGCAGAAATCAGGCAGGCTGCCAAGAGAGCAATAGCCAGCGTGGAAGTCATATCTGCTCAGATGAAGCTGTTTCTTCCTGTTTCTCTCTAGCTCTTGTCCTAGAAGCTGGTGAGCTCTGCTGTCTCTGAGGACTTGTGTTGAGTGGAGTGCTACTGGGCCTTTTTATATCATCTCAACACTAGAGGATACATGCACCCTCATCCTTGCATTATGTCAGAGGAAATTCCACAATATGCAACTACCGCGCACAGCACACCCCGGAGGCCAGTCCTGAGTCATCAGACTTCCTTGATTGGTTCCCCAACACATTTTCAGTATGATTGAAGTTTGCTTTGATCTTTAAAGTAATTTTAATAAACTTGTTTTTAAATACTCAAGTTTCCTCCTTGACAAATATATTTCTCTTTACTTATGAACAACTACCATTGACATATGACAGAGTGGAGTTGTGAGTAACAAGGTCATGGATGACAAGTCTTCAGGAAAATGATATGTGAAGATAGTGAAGGTAATATTGTCAACCACTTTTATTGACGGTATAATTTATGATAAGTCTTCTTCCAAACATTTTGGAGTGCTTTCAGGAACAATTATTGCTTTTAAGAAACAGGTTATACTTTTTTAAAAAATGTATTATTAATGTATCCTAATAGTATCAAAGGGCATATCTGTGCAATATAGAAATAATTCAGTTTCACAAACATTGATATAGTAAATTTCTTAATAATTTCAGGGAGTCCATACACAATAAGACTAAATATTTGTTCTCTTTTTTGAGGTGTAAAGTGACCGTTTTATTAGGAAAGAAAAGGAAAGCAGGAGAAAGAGCAGAGACTCCTGTGTGGGAGGGGCTAAAGGAAAGCAATTCAAGCCCAAGACTAAATGATCTTAAAGATTTGATCTTGGGAGGGAAGGGGAGAAGGGGAGGGGGGCACTAAAAGGAGAAATTTAAAAAAGAATTGGGTCTTTCAGAAGAAAAAGTCACATAAGAACTGACTGTATTACTGATTAGATAAGTGGTACTCAGCTATTATTTCCAGCCTGGGGCACAAGAGACAAATATTCCAAAAGCAGCTCAAGCAGGGTGTTGAAGGATGGAGGATTTCAATAGAGGAAGATGAAAGGGAGTAGCACATTCAGGTAAGGACCCTGTGCAATACAGATGATAACACTGAGTTATATTATGCTCCCAGAAAAGGTGCTCTGAGGTTCTCGGGTGTTATCTAATGGAAAGATAAGCCCTGTGCTCTTAATGAGAAAAACACTTGCATTCAAAGTCTGGTCCAGCTACCCTCCTTCATGCTCCATTTCCAAGGAAACCAAGACTAAGTTCTTGGAGTCCATAATCAGTATCAAGAGGAACAGAGTAAGAAGTTTCCCTCAATCGTACAAAGATGTCTTTATATCCCAATGTTCTGAAGAAGTCTTGTCCAGAAAGCTCTCAATTTCTTTGCACTAAGGAAGAGACTTTGTGATAAAAGTAAAAGTCTGTCCCCCTCTAGGCAAGTATGCAATTTTAACTTAATTCAGCTTAGTTTAATATTTTCTTTCTCTCCCAATAAGTGTGTTAAGCATTGAGTTCACTTGCAGAACAATAAGTAGTGAGGAATGCCATTTTCAAATGCTTTCCAAAAAGGTTTAATTTCTGAGCAATCATTCTTTCTTCTTCTTCCAACCAACCTAAGGCTTGAGAACAAAGTAGTGCCTGGATTATATTACTTTCCATAGCAAAAAAATAAATGTTTATTCTATGTAATGCAACTTCTATTATTTTTAATTCTAATATTAGAGGAACTTAATTATGGATTTATTTAATACATTTTGATTATCTGCTAATGTCAGGTATTAGAGGAGATGTAAATAAGACATAGTGCCTGACTTCAAGGAGTTTTCAGTCCAGGTCTGCTTATGGACAATTAGTTATACAAACAAGTAACATATAGCAATGGGAATTACAATACAAATAAATTATAAGAAGTTCTGGAAACCAACACATGAGACTTTTGAAGCAGTTTCAGTGAATGAAGGTTTTCTGAAGAAATAACTTCAAAGTTGCAACTTATATTAGTGATAAGGATTAAGAAAGACCAGCAGACTGCTTTGCTTTCAGAGGAAAAAGTATAAGGCAATGGGATTTAAGAGAACATATGCCATCTGTGTCCTAAAATTGCTTGATGTGTGGAATATAGTATGTGGAATAACAAGAAGAAAAAGTTGGAGCCAAAGAAAATAAATCATATCTAGATAAAGAAAATATCTAGATATTAAGGAAAATGTTCAGGCTTTCTTGCTTCACTGATGTTTGCAATGTCTGGTAATGACACCCTGGCATGACTTGTTCAGTACAATGTCACTGAGACCACCACTAACATGCTTAGTGTTCTGCATATGTGCCAACACTCTTCTTTTCCCTGAGTATCATCTTTGTGTTTTTGCTGAGTTCTACTTACATGGACACCTCATTTCCCTCTTATTTCCATCTTCCTGTGTCTCCCAACTTTATCCTCATATCATCTGAGATGTTAAACTAGTGAGTTTCACTTAACCTTGATGCTTACATTTGTTTTTTGAGAATAGACAAATATAAGGCAAAAAGACCTCTTTGCAAATGTTGTTCATCTCTCACAATGTAACCTCTAATATATTATGTCCTAGGATCTTCTCCTTCAGAGACAGGGATAGAAAAGCAAAGTGACTAGAGGCAGGGAGTAATTCTATCTTACCACACTTTTGCAAAGCTAAACCTTTGAATTGGTGTATCATGAGTGGGAATAAATAAGCTTAAATAGAACACAAAAAGCAGGAGTTACTATCCTCTTTTAAGATATCCTGCTAGAGTAGAGTATAAAGTGTAATGAAAGCTACAAACGATGTTTTGTCATAATTTAGAGATGAATTCAGAGTTCATCGGATTTGACAAATGAACTGTTTAGGTTCCATCCAGCTTCTGAGCCATGAGAATCTTTTAATGAGCAGACAAGTACCCGTAAATCCTCATTATAACCATTGATCAACTCTATCATCCAAGAAATAGAAGCTTTAGAAATACCCAAGACAAAGACAGGCATGTATTTTTCTGCATCAATACATAACTCTTCTTCCATCAAACTCCCTACAAAAAAACTGAGTGTCTCTTTACTGTGTTAAACCATCCAAACCCTTCCATCACCCCTACTTCAAATAGACATTTTAGATTTTGACCTTTTTTATGTAAGTCTGAACAAGGTTGTATTTGTATACCAAAGCAGAATTTGGTGGGGAAAGGATGGGCTTTGAAATGAGATGAGCTTCGGTCTACATTTTGTCCTATGCTTATTACCAAGAAATCTTGGGCAAGCTGATTCTAGGCCCATGTTTGAGTTGCTGCTGCTGAAATCTGATGGTCTTTCAGAGTTGCTTTTCTCAATTCTGGAAATAAAGTCTCAACTCACACCTAGAATTTTTCTGCCTTTGATAAAATCAGTCCCAATTGTACAACCTCTCAATTAAGACAGAATGTTAAATACATATCAGTGAATTTTATTTATTATGTTCTTAATGCTAACAGTTACAAACATAAACATTTTCACTGAAATTTTCACCAATAAAACCCAGCAGAAAGATTTAAAACATATTCTCAGCTCTGTACCTTGTTAATGATAATTTGATCTGGTCCATTACCACAACACATTTCAGTTCCATCTCAAATTCAAATATCTCTAGATAACAGTTTATAAAAAGTACTAAATCATGCTGGTCCATGCTACTAAAAGTGTGCCATAATTTAAATAAAAGCTCTATTTTCTAACATCTTGCTGTGTTGGAGAAGCAAATAATACATGGATTTTAGTAGCATCAAATTTAAAGAAACTTAGATTTAAGGGTATGCAGAGGTGTTAGAATAAAACAAACCTGACTTCCAATTTAGCTAGTCCACTCATTATTTGCCAAACAACTGTGGCCAGTTTTTTAATCTTGCTGCGTCTTAGTTAATTCATGTGTAAAGTGAGAATACCACAATTCTATAGGATCACAGTGACAACTGAATGAGAAAAACAAGAAGATGCCCAGAATGATGCCTGCCACATAGAAGATGCTCAGCAAATGTCAGTTTCTTCTCTTCTAACCTGACACATCACACTTATCTCTTACTGAGTAAGAGAACCACATTTCCTTTTAAAAGCTTACCAACCAAAAACTAAAGCTATATTAACATAACAGATTTCTTAAAGCTTATATCTAGCTCATTTTTTCAATTAGAGAAGCTTTCTTTTTTTATTCCTAATAATTCTATTCACATTTGTATGTTGAAAATTATTTTAACCATTGATTTGTGTGATGAATTGAGTATCATTTTAATACTATCTCCTGAATTAAAGGAATTTAGAGTTTGAAAAACAGATTTGGAGAAAAAGGCTACTTATGAAAACAGGCATTTTTTTATGAACTAGGGAAGACTAAGATCAGCCAAACTTAAATATGGAACAGAAAAATCAAATATAAATATTTACTTGTAGTCATATATTTTTCTGTTAAATTTGTGAAACAAAAATACTTATATAACTATTTGTTGAATTTATAAAGCAAAAGTATGTATATACCTATTTTCTTTGTTAGATTTTTTTCTAACAACACTTAGACATTGTTTTCTACAATGTTTATAATAAGAGATATTTTTGGAGTGATTATGTACTGTTAGTTAAAGTATTTCATTCTAAGTAAAGATGACAGGAAATGAGATCATTTGGCAGAAAATAATTTGCTGTTAGAAATGATGGTATTAGTGCTTGTGCTAATTGTACCTTGGGAAAAATGAGACCTACACCAAGCAATTAAGTGAAGTGACTAGACAAAGGTTCAGAAATGATAAGTCAAGGTGGTATGATTTTACAGTGAAAATTTTCTTTTGTCCTTAAATGTTCCTTCATTGTTTTGATGTATTGATTGTATAGATGTGGTTTGTAAAATCCGAGTTGAGATGAAAATCAGCAATTTGAAGAAAGTGGTGGCTTAAGTGGAAAAACAGATCTTATGTTATAATTTCTATATTTTGTTTCTTGTAACTTTCCCTTTTATAATTTTTCATTTTCTT